CACACACACACACACACACACACACACACACACACACACACACACCAGGACACATATAATCAATTTTTCCTTCATAGAAAAAGAAAAGAAATGATAGCATTTTAATACAGCAGGGGAGCCCAGGGCACCTAACTTATGCTTCATTACAAAGAGCTCTTTTTAAGGCCCCTTATTATTTTGTAGTTTTACAAAATTAACCTAGAGGAAGAAAGAGCCCCTTCTAGAGCCACCATCACCAAATCCAGTGAGCATCCACCCGGATGCCCAGCACAGCCTGAGCTAGGATTCAGCGTACCTGTGCGCTTGTCTAAACTCACTTTCACTGACAGTGCTGAGGGTCACTGCCCCCTGTGGAGTATCAGCTGACCAGGTAATGCTCTCAGCACCCCCACCACCCGTTCCACTCAGCTGGGGACATTTCCAGGAGCTGTTTTTCTAGCTCGGCATTATTGTACCAAAGCTGTGAATCATAAGACTTCATGCCTTTGCAATCTTTCAGAGCTTTGAATGACTCCATGTTTCCATGATTGTCATGAAACCGTGGAAAAATGAGTTAGAAATGCGTGTTGTTCATAAACAACTCTTCCTCATTCATAAAAATAAACTGCCAGTGTTTGGTACTGTTTTTCTCCACAGCTTGTATCACATGACATTGAGAGTTTCCATAAGCCACTGAGGTTGGAATACTTGCCGTAAATACTCCTTCCTTCTCTGCTCGAGGGCAGGGGAGAGGTCTGGACCTCATGGGAAGTGACAGCTAAGGAACTGTAGGAGCCATCACGCATCAAGGAAACCATTTTGCTAAGTTCCAGTTCTTATCAAGTGGGTTGTGTCCAAAGAAATGATTTGTGGGAATGTGCAAGTCACCTGTGTGCACTGCTCAGGAAGTTGGTTTTCAAGTTCATAATACACCAGAGGTTCTCAGAGAGCATCAAGGGCAGCATCTCCTCTCACACAAGAGCACAGCTTCTGGCACTGGATGTGTCCCCAGGGATGCCAGTGAGCATTCTGGTGGCCAGCAGCACCCAGCCTGGTAAACTTACACGGCAGCACACTGTTCCCCTAGGCACCTGTCAGAATGTAGGGATACGAGCTGCCCAATTAGCCCTCACACCAACACCTCCCCTCCTTCCTGCTTCTGTAAACATTCAACGCTGAAGAGAAAAGAAAACAAGATGCTCAATAAAGCCAATCCCAATTATCTCAATTCTGTGCCTCATACAGGACAGGAAAATCCTAACACAGGAGGTGAGTTAACGACACAACAGACACCAGCAGACCCAGGTCCCAACAGGCTCCACTCCACCCAGAGATGAAGCTGGCCTCCAGAGATGGAAGGAAAAGCTGAGGAGGTTCCTGCAAACAAAAGCACTGCCCAGGTAGAAAGCACAGCAGTGAACAAATAGCCATTTTAGTCAACTTTTCTCTGAAATCAAAACATTTAGACCTTTGTTCATTCTGGAACACTTTTTTTTTTTTTAAGGTTTTTTTATTGGGGAATTGGGGGATGGGAACAGTGCTGAGAAATTGGAGAAGAGGAACAGACAAGTTGCTGTCCTTTTGTTCTTCAGTCTAGTTGTGGAGGACGTCGCTTCATTGGCTCAAGTTGGCACCATCATTGCGCTCTTCCCGGG